CTCCCTCCCCCAAGCATGCTCCCCCCGCAAGCGCCCGTGCGCCATGTGCCCGGGGCCAGGCCAGCCCCGAGCACCTGGCGGGCGCATTGAAAGGCCCCCGCGGGCGCCATGGCACCCGTGGGCACCGTGTTGGGGACCACGGGCTTAAATAAACTCCCCCCCCACCCCCACACTTCCACCTTGGGTAGGAATCCTTTCTTTGGTACCCTCATCCCCACAGAAAAATACCAGGTTCAAAATGGATTCCAGTACTAGGAGGCATGGTCACATGTCTTTGTAGGACTAACTAACCACAATTTGGGGTTACAGGAGAAACAACAACCATTTACAGGTTGTTGGTTTGAGTATTAAGTCATTAAGGAACTGAAGTATCACTAATTGCCTTCATTAGCACATTTCCAACTATAAACAGATTCACACTTCATATTTCTAACTTCACATACAAGAATAATTCATGCACAAAAATATGATTCACAGATTCAGCAGATTGTAACTGTAAAATTGATCTGTTACATGAACAGTTTTGCATAAAGCATCTTCGAGTTATGCAAATTCATATCCATAAGCCAATTTTCATAAGGCATAAGGGGCCTGTGACAGAGTATTCAGGCGATTAATAGGCTGACAGATAACGAACGGGACCTTCATCCTATCCCACATGGATAGTCCCTGAAAGTTGTCATGTCGGATGGCTGTTCCATGGCTTGCTGAAATGACTATCTGGCTTTCATTTTAATCCCTAGAGGTCAAGACTCCACATCCCAAGAACTAGCTGACACAATCCCTGTGGGTATCAGAGTATCCCAGGGTGTTGTAAGGAATGATAATGTAAAATGTTCCCACTTTCCTCCTAATCTCAATGTCAGCACATTAGCATGGCCGCGTGGATAATGCTTGCACAGCTCTAGCCTGCACTGGGCCTGCTCTACTGGGGCAAAATTAATCTCTAAAACTTATTTTCGAGAATTAAGCAATGCTCAGACTCTGGGCATGTCTAGACTACATTTTTTTTTCAAAAGGAGATATGCAAATTCGGTTCTATTTTGCATATCTTCTTTCGATTTTGAAAATGAAAGTTGTTTGGTTTTTTCGAAAAAACCCCCCCACTCTTCCTAAAAAAAAAAAAAGGAGGTTTATGTAGTTTTTCGAAAAAGGGTTCCCCCCCCCCAAAAACCCGTCCAGACTACTTTCACCTTCGAAAAACATGCTTTCAAAAAAGGTATCGGAAGAAGATATGCAAATTAGCACCAAATTTGCATATCTCCTTTCGGAAAAAAAAAGTACTCTAGACTTGCCCTCTGTCCTGGCCCTCTGCATGCAATGCATTTCATTTTGGATGGCGAGAAGTCCAGAGCCCCCATAGCTGCCAATCCTGCAAACTTTGAGAGGGCAAACATTTGCTGGGCTACCCAGTATTTAAGTAACTTTCTTCTCAAGTCTAAATTAAATTCTATTTTGTGATACTTGGACTGACCCAGATTAATAGCCCAGTTTTAATTAGCTGTGTGGGTTCAATGCCAGAGGGAATGCAGTGCTCACGGCAGTTGCTAGATTCACAGCAGAAAGAGAGACGGGCCTCTCCACCACACAACTATGGGCAATGTCAGCTTCCCTTTGCTCAGCTGCCAGCCTGCTGGGATATACCCTCTGTGTTAATTCAGGCCTCTGTTTCATACCAGTGTCTACAAACCAGATTCCAGTGTCTATAATGTGAACACAAAAAGGGATAACAAGAAAAATTCAGTATTCATCTCAGTCTGTTTATTACTTAGAGTGCAATTCCATTCTGCCTTATGTAGTCTCAGAACGCAAACAACTGAGGGAAAACAGCCCCTCCTTTTTCCACAGAACCGCTTCCTCAGTGTGCAGTGTCAGATCTCATTGCTATGGGCGTGTTTCACTGTCCTGTCCTCCTGCTTACTCTGCAGCATCAAGAAGCTGTAGAAAAAGCAGCTGGATTTTACTGCTTCTTTAGCATTGTTTGTGCTGTGATCATTGTGTCATGCTGATTGAATGTATTTTCTCACTGTTTCCTTGTGGCCCCTGACTGTTGTCTCTATACCAGGAGCAGGCAAAATACGGCCTGTGAACCTGTGAACTGGATCTGGCCCACCACAGTCTTGCAGCCCAGCAGGAGTCTTGGGCAGACTCCCTGCATGCCGTACCCTGTAGTCCGCTCAAAGCGGCCAGCTGCAGGGCCCCTGTGCTCTCTTCCTGCACTGCTCCTGCCCCCATCACAGTCTCACAGCTCCCAGAGGGCCAATAGGAGTTGCCCAGGCTGCACTTGCGGCGCAGGCAGCATGCAGAAAGCTGTCCTCAAGGGCGCAAAGAGAGCACATGGCCTCCGTAGCTGACCAATCTGAGTGACATGTGGAGGCAAGGTAGGCGGCTCCCATTGGGCTACTGCCCAGGAGCCACCTAAGGTAAGTACCTCCCAGCCAGAGCCCAAACCTCACCCCCAAGCCTTCTGCCCTTCTTCCTGCACCTCTGTCCCACGTCACAATCCCCTCTTACACTCCTCTTTCGGGTCAGAATCCTCTCTGGCACCCATACCACCTCCCAGATCCTGCACCCCAATCCCTTGCACCGGTCACAATCCCTTCTTCACCCAAACATCTTCCCACATCCCCTTCCTGCACCCCAGTCCCCTACCCTGAGCTCCCTTCTACACCCAACCTCCATCCTAGACCCCATACCTCCTCTGCTAATATCACGGAAGAGCACGGCCCTTGACCACTTACCAAATTCTTGGAGTGGACCCCCATCAAAAATCATTGCCCACCCCTGCTTTGTACTAAACTTGTGAGCTTTTGGGGGCAGAAGACATTCTTGGGTTCTGTGTTTGTACAGCACCTAGCATGATGGAGAAACAAACAGAAACAATGTCAGCTGGCTTCACTGCACACAAAAACCTACAGTTCTTTTTTTTTCCCCCAATCTAGGAAGCATCCTATGAGATGCATAGATGTACAAGTCCTCTGGGACATTGTCACTGTTGCCTTTCAACACTTGACCTCAAATTCAAACATATGCTCCTGGAGCAATTTAATATTTATACTGATGCTGTAGCCAGCAATCATCTTGTCAATCTGCCTCCTGCATCCAGCTTGTCACTGTCACAGCTGTCTTTGCATCTGGATGACATGAGTGCAGTGGGCCTGCTATTGTTTTCTCCACACTAGTGATGTACAGGTTGTCAAAACCCTCCTACTCCCAGTCAGCTGGACCCAAGCAAACATCAGGACCCTACAAACAAGGATGAATCTAATCAGAAGGAAAAAAAGTCGGGTATGAAAATAATCTGTTCTTGGCATTCACCTCAGCCTTACTCTGGTGATACAGCTACTAAAATATGGGACCCTTTTCATAGCATTATCCTCTATAATCTCCCTCCTTACAATCTTCCTCTTCCACCAGATTTCTGTGCACCTCTGTCTTCTGAGCCCTGTCACCCCCTCCACAGCCCGCTGGTAGGTTCACACATGTCAGTGTGATCATTTGGAATTATTGTTTACTTGGGGTGTGCGGTTCTAGTTATGGGAATCCGTAAAATTCTAAATGGTTTTAATCATACTGCAAATCAGTTTGTAATGAAGTTTAATCCACCTACCTGAGACGTGGTAGCTTTGTTGGCAGGAGATGTTCTTCTGCTGACATAGCTCTGTAGATCAGATGCAAAAGAGTGTAGACCAGTTGCAATAGAGTTCTCCTGGGTGTGGGAAAGGTACCCTGAGCATCACAGCTAAATGCAAGGTGGAAAAGATTGTTTAGTATAAGTAGTAAGAACATTACTGTAAGGGGCCATTCAAGGCGGTCATAGGACAAAGAAAGGGGTTGGTGGATCATAGATTGTTGTAATAAACCATAAATCCAGTAGTCTCTAGCAGAATTATAAACTGAAGCTCTCAGGATTGTTCTTTTGAAAGTGTTGTGCAGGTTTCCTGCCTTGCAGGCCTGAAGAATGGCTCTATGTGACTTGAAAGCTTGTGTCTCTCTCACCAAGAGAAATTGGCCCAATAAAAGCATTTAGATCACTTATCTTGTCTCTCTAGTATCCGAGACCAACACAGCTACAACTATATAGCATATGTCAATGGATCTATATCAATTAAAGGAGAAGACAACATGGCCCTCCATTTCCTCCTATTATCAAAGACTATTTGGGTGGATTTTCTATTGCGTCCCTTCTGAAAAGGGGGATTTTACTCCAGGTGGATCAGAAAAAGGAACTAGCTTAATTCTCTTTGTGAACCCCATCATTGTAGTACTGGAGTAACTTATGTAATGTTAGTAGCTAACTCCAGTTATGTACTACAGTTCTTTTTATAGAGATGAAGCAGTGAAAGAGAGTAGCAACTGATCGCAGCCTGTGTTTGGTTGGTTTTTTTTTATTATGCACACAAATGTTAATCACTAATCGGCCTCCAACTTACATCACCATTAACATTTTGACTAGCTTTCTTTCTCTATTTCTCCAGGCAACCAGCCCAGCTGTTTCCCATTGGTACTAGCAAAATAAATCCCCGAGACAGATCCAACCTTTCTGGCTCAGAAGAAAAACTGCTGGTATAAACACATAAATCAGCAACTGGCTATGGTCCTTTCTTCACCTGTATCAGTCTCAGGGCTCTGCATGATCTGCATTCCCTCCAGCTGTTAGTAACTTAATTGAAATATTGATCAAATAAAAGCAATTCCCCCAAATTTGCACTATTACCACTAAACATAATGTAATTGTGTCTTATTACTCACAGTGACAGACCAAAGCTGTGCAAGTAAAGAATGCAATAAAACTGTATTCAAAAATGGCACCCTGCTGTTTCCATCATCTCTCAGTGGGTGAATATAGGGCCAGATCCCCAGCGGGTGTAAATGGGCATAGATCTATTGACTATAATGAAGTGACTTCAGTTTGTGTGAGCTGAGCATCAGGCTCATAATGTGCTTGTGACAAAGGAAGCAATTATAAATCTGTGGCTTCATTTTCTTTACTTCTTATATTCGGCTTGCTCTCAGGGCCGCTTCCACCTCCCAGTGCTGCGAGAAGGGAGGAAGTGAGAGATACGGACCCCTTCTGAGTCTTTGTCACCATGGCAAAAATGCTACTGCCTCTAAACCAGAATCCCATGGCAAAAAGATAAATAAAGGAGCAGCTCTGATATCCTGACTGGGAGCTGACAAGTCACTAAAGGCCTACCAAGGCATCCTTTCAATTCCTGACAAAGCGGGGGACAAATGTTAAACTCAAAGGCTATGTCTAGATTGAATCCCTTTTTCGTAAAAGGGATGCAAATTAGACGTATCGCAATTGCTAATGAAGTGGGGATTTAAATCTCCCCCTCTTCATTAGCATAAAAATGGTTGCCACTTTTTTTCGGCACGGAGCTTTGCTGGAAAAAAGCGCCAGTCTAGACGCGGATCTTGCGGAAAATAAAGCCTTTTCCGAAAGATCCCTTATCCCTTATTTTAAGGGGGGATTAAGAGATCTTTCAGAAAAGGCTTTATTTTCCGCAAGTGCACCCGTGCCGAAAAAAAGCGACAGCCTTTTTTATGCTAATGAAGTGGGGGAGATTTAAATCCCCGCTTCATTATCAATTGCGATACGTCTAATTTGCATCCCTTTTACGAAAAAGGGATGTAATCTAGACGTAGCCCTGGGGTGCGGCATTACCTATCCCAGACAATCAGATGCAGGCTACATTAATGCCAGAGGTGAAAGTAAACCACCTAGCCCTGGCCAGCTGGGGCACTTTGCTACAGAGGGAGGGGCGGGATGCTCCCAATCTGGCTCCTGGGCAGCCAGGCAGGCAGGTGAGAGGGGCTGGCTGGGGCTATCCCTTCTGGGACTGTCCCAGCTGTGAGCTCCCCACTGTCATTTGGGGGGGCATGAAAGGAGGCTGCAGCTGGGCATCTGGGAGCAGGAGGAACGCAGCAGGCTCTGCACTTTCCCCTTGCTCACTAGTCAGAGGAAGCAGGAAAAGCAAAAGAGTCCCGGTATGTGCGGCTGCAGTCCTCCCACTCCCCAAAATGGTGCCCTTGCCTCCCACACACTCACCCCTACACACACCAAGCCCGCTGCCCTGAGCCCCCTGCCCTGAGCCCCCTGTCCTGAATACTGCACCTTTATATCTCCCTGCTCTGAGCCCCCACACAATCCCAGCCCCCTGCCCTGACTTCTGACACCCCAACCCTTTACCCTGAGCCCCTTATACATCTCAACCCTGACTCCTACACTCCCCACTTCTCTAGATCTGCTGGCAATGCTCCTCCTAATGCAACCTAATATGCTGTTAGCCTTCTTGGCTGCAAGGGCACACTGTGGACTCATATCCAGCTTCTCATCCACTGTAACCCCCAGGTCCTTTTCTGCAGAACTGCTACTTAACTGGTTGGTCCCCAGTGTGTAACTATGCTTGGGATTCTTCCTTCCCAAGTGTAGGACTCTATACTTGTCCTCAGTTTGACTGAGAGCAGCCACAGTGCTGGGTGACACAAGAGTTATGCAGAGTGACTGGATTAGCAGCACAGGAGGACTGTATTAGCTGTGGTGAGTTATTACAACTCAGGCTGTTGCATCCCACGGTGCGGGAAGTAGGGGTGCTTCTGCACCCCATGGCTTGAAATGGTTTCCATTATATAGAGGATTTACAGCCTGGTTCAATGACTTTCAGCACCCCCAGTGTACAAACTATTCCAGCACCCCTGAGACCCACAGCATTATGAGTTGCTGCAGCATCAGCCCTCCCCTCAAGCAAAAAATAATTACCTCCCATCCAGGCCAAATAGCATAAGCTTAAAACACCACTTAACTCTAACTGGAGATTTGGGAAGGGATTGAGTTAGGGGTAACACTTGAGTTATAACTTGGCCTTTTTGTACTCATTTTCCTCTCCCATCTTTGTTGTATTGATTTTAATTGTAAGGTCTCTCCGGTAAGATGTTTCACAGTGCCGGGGGATATCATTTTGGTTATGCAGTTTACAAGTCTGTTTATCAGAATCTAATAAAAGATTCTGAAGCTAACAGAGGAACAAATTAGTTAGATTTTTTTCACTAATCGCTTCTCTTAGCTGCAGAGAAAGAAAAAACATGAGACGAAAAAGCCTTTGCTCTGTTATTGACATTAGAAGGGTGTTGAAAATAGGCCAATGGTCCTCCTTGAAAGAGCTAAGAAAGTCTCTAGGAGTCTAATTAGCAGGAAAATATGCCCTTTCATTGACTTTTCAGTCAGAAGAAATGCAAAAACAAGGACCATCTATTCAAGATCACAAGTGGGACAGAAGCAATTTTACACACATATTCCTCAGAGCATTCTGGATTATGCACAGTGCTTCGGGACTTTGCCAATCTACATATTTTTGGCCGTTAGCAAGATAAATTATGAGACAGTGAAAACTACTTTTTAACCTTAAGTTAAAAAAATGCAGCTCTTTTTAATAGTCACTTCATGTGGTACTGAAAATGAGACTGTGCTCACTCAATGCAGAAGGATTCTATTGGTGAAATCATTTGCTGAAAGGCTATTTACATTTTTTAGCGGATGGTGGATAATACCTAGAAAGAGACTCTTTGGAAGTGCAAGAGGATTCTGTCTGAAACCATGACACAACAATAAAAACGGGTACTTATTACATTTTCTTGCTACATTGCATGCAATGGGTGCTTTATGATCAAAAGGAAGACAAAGACGTAGCACTGTATAGAGGAACACACCCATGACTTGGAGAACCCATAAGTTTCACCCTTGTCTGACAGCTCATCATAATATGATTTTGCACTTTTAACAATTCTGTATCAGCATTGTTATATAGGAAAGTAATACTGTCCCTATCTACCAGATGGAAAAACAGGCTCAGAAACTCTGGGGTTCTGACTGTGCAAACCTTCCCCACACCAAGTAGTACAATGGGACTGCTCATGTGAATACAGTACAGCAAGTAGGTTCAGGTTTTAATGGATTTGTTTGCGATTCACAGAGGGATTCAATGTAAACACCAGGAATTCTAATCCAGGATTAGATCTAATCTAGGAGCGGGAAGGCCTTGTTTGGACACAGACTGGCTAACCTTGTGAGGAGGGCTTTAAACTAGGTTTGTTGGGGGCAGGTGAGCAAAGCCCACAGGTAAGTGCTGCATGTGTGGGACTGGGAGATGGGTTGGAAATGGGGGGGACTACGGCCTATAATGGCAAGGAGAAAGGCTGAGTTTGGAAGCAGAGAGAGCAGGGGACACTGCCCCCCTAGTCTTTTAAAAGAAGAATGAACAGTTCTTCCCTGTTCATGTTTTTGTTTCTTCAACAGGGAAGAGTGGGCAGGTCTAAGACAAACATGCTGAGCACATTCTGTCAGGAAGGACAGACAGGGAAAAAAGGGAGGAGGGGTTGCCTTGTATATTAAAAATGTACACACTTGGACTGAAGTGGAGATGAACGTAGGAGATAGCTGTGTAGAGAGTCTCTGGGTTAAGCTAAAAGGGGTAAAAAACGAGGGTGATATCATGCTAGGAGTCTACTACAGGCCACCTAGCCAGGTGGAAGAGGTGGATGAGGCCTTTTTTAAACAATTAACAAAACTATCCAAAGCCCAAGATTTGGTGGTGATGGGGGACTTCAACTATCCAGACATATGTTGGGAAACTAACACAGCGAGGCACAGGCTATCCAATAAGTTTCTGGACTGCATTGGAGACAACTTTCTGTTTCAGAAGGTTGAAAAAGCTACCAGAGGAGAAGCTGTTCTGGATTTGGTTTTAACAAATAGGGAGGAACTAGTTGAGAACTTGAAAGTGGAAGACAGTATAGGGGACAGTGATCATGAAATAATAGAGTTCATGATCTTAAGGAAAGGTAGAAGGGAGACCAGCACAATTGAGGTTATGGATTTC